CTGGGCGCGGTGGCTCTCGCCTATAATCCCAGCACTTGGGGAGGCCGAGGTGAGAGGACTGCCTGAGCCCATGGGTTCAAGACCTGCCTGGGCAACTTGGCGAGACCTCATCTCTACAGTAAGTCAAAAAGATTAGCCGGGCATGGTGGCGCATGCCTGTAGTTCCAGTTACTTGGAAGGCTGAGACGGAAGGATTGCCTGAGCCCAGCAGGTCGAGGTTGCAGTGGCCCGGAGTGTGCAACTACCCTCCAGTCCGGGTGACAGAATGAGACTCCAAGTCAAATAAATAAATAAATAAATAATAAAAGCCCAGCCTTTGCCTGGTGCAGTGGCTCACACCTATAATCCCAACACTTTAGGAGACGGAGGCGAGATGATTGCCTGAGCCCAGGGGTTTGAGACCAGCCTGGGCAACTTGGCAAGACCTCATCTCTACAATAAATCAAAAATTTAGCCGCTTGTGGTGGCACACGCCAGTAGCTTCAGAAGCAGAAGGATCGTCTGAGCCCAGAAGGTGGAGGCTGCTGTAGCCATAATCGTGCCACTCCAGCCTGGGCAACAGAGGGAGACTCTGACTTAAAAAAGAACAAAAAACAGCCTGGTCATCTACCAGGAGAAAAAACAAATATTTTGGTTCTCAAAGTGACCAAACTCCCTACAGAACTGGAGTAAAGCCAGCAGGAAACCAGAAACAAACTGGTCCCTCAAAATACTGGAAATGCAAGCTCTGCCCAGCTGTGACAGTTAGCACCTAAACCAACCCTGGAGGCCTGGCCCCTTCGCCCTGGGTTTGGAGTGAAAGAGACTTATACCCAGAGCCTGACCTCAAGGGACTCCTGACCCTGAATTCAGGGAAGGTAGGGGTACAGACACAGGCTGTCACAGCCCTCAGGGGTTCCATCTGTGGCAATCAGGGAGGGCTTCACAGAAGAGGAGATACTAACTTGACATTAAAAGATGAATAAAGGTTTGCTGAGCAGGAAAAACACGCAAGGTTGTAAGGGCCGTGGGCAATGATCAAAGCTTCCACCTGGCCAGCAGGTCGGATGTTAAGTGGGGACTATCCTGAAGGGCCTGGAATGATCCGCAGGAGCAGGTCCCAAAAAGCCTGGAGTGCAGCTTGAACTATAACTGGAGGGCAGCAGAGAGCCACAGAAACACTCAGCAGGAAAGGGCCATGGTCAGCTCTGGGCACTGAAAGAGCCTGCTGGGACATGGGGATACAAATGGAAAAGGGTAAGACTGGAGCTGGAGGCAAAGGAGGAGGCTGGGGACAAGGGAAGCTGAGGCCTGAGCTGGGGCAGAGGCCATGAGGGTAGGGAGCACAGCTGGAGCCTCCCAGAGCCATAACGTGGGCATAGGACCTATCGCGGGTAGCGACAAGGATATAGGAGAACAAGGGGACAAAAGATGACATCCAGATCTGGCAGGGGGTGTAGGAGACGGCTCAGGTAGGTGTGTGAGGGAGTGGAGCATGCTGAGGGCTGTTTTGGACACGGTGACATCAAAGGTCCCCATGAAACAATCCAGAGGGGCATCCAGGAGACAGCAGAAGTCAGAAGAGTGGTCTGGGTGGAACCAAGGGGCTGCAACCTTTCCAGGAAGCGTGGACAGATGGGATGAGCCGAGGGCCAGGACAGAGAGAGCCCTGAGGACCATGGCCCCAGTAAAGGGGTGCACAGTGGAAAGTGAGACTGGAGAGTTCTGAGGAGCAGATGGAGAGAGAGGAAGCTGACCAGGAAAGAAGAGGATGTAAAGCAAAGGGAGTTTCAGGGAGTGGTCCCTGTCACGTGAGAACTGTCAGGCCTTAGCAATGAGCAGGTGACCTCAGCAACCCTGTCCAGAATCATTACAGGGCCATGGGAGGTCGGCAGCCAGAGATAATGGGTTGAAGAGGGAGTGGAGGATACAGGATTGAGCCAGTGGGTACCACAGAGCAGCCTAATGCAGAGAGAGAGAGTGCGTGCGTGTGTGTGTGTGCGCGCTTAGAGCTAATGAAACATGTTTTAAGGGTGGGAGAGACTGAAAATGCAGGGGCACAAGAAAGTAGTTTCCCAAGGAGATGGAAACAGGATCCTCACCTCAGAGGCCCTCCCTCACCCACCTAGTGACTTCTGAGTGAGGGCCTATGCTGGGGAGGGAGTTGTAGCCAAGATCACTCCCTGAAGGTCCAGACCCACTGGCCTGAGTTACAGATCCCCTTGACCAGTTCATAGAACCCCTTGCTAATTTCTGTCAAAACAGCCATCACCCACCAGCCTACTCCTCTTTCCTGTCACCATCTCCCACGCCAGCGTTCTAAGTCTCATCCTGAAACCCCCTTGTCCCACAGCCCATCAATCCTCATATTCTGTTCTCTCCGCCTCCCGAATCTCCACTTCATCCCCTCAGCCTCTTCCTTGATACAGGCAGGCTCCATCCTCTGCTGCCTGGGTCCCTGCCAGAGCCACCTCCTGGGCTACTGGTATCTTGGTCCTCTGCTGCTCTGAACACTCCCATGGCACCCCACTACCCACCCTCAGGAAAAAGTCGAAAGCTCCTCAGCCTGGCCTCTGGCCACCTCTCCACCCTCTTCCTGCCTTACTGTTCCGCTGCCAGCAACGCAGACTTGACTAGCCTTCTGCTGGGGCATCTGCACACAGCAATGCTCCTGTATGCCTCCCCGTCTTTGTTCATACCAAAACACCTTCTTCTCCAGTTTGGCACCCCCTGCTCCTCCAAGATCCAGTTCCAATCCCCCACCAAACCCTTTCCTGACCAAGACAACCCCCAAAATAGCTTATCCTGGGCTCCTCCCTCCTCTGCACACCCCTCCCATCAATGTCTGTCCTCTCCTCTGACCCGGGCTCCTTGAGGACAGGAACCAGGCCTGCCTGACTCATCTTGGTCACCACCATCGCCCAGCACGAGGCTCGGCACACCAGAAGCCTCAAGGAATGTTTGTTTAACTAAGTAATAGGTGGGTGAGTGTGTGCGTGAGCGAGTGAATGATTGCTATGCAAGGAAATCAGTGAATGAGGAAATTAATGAGGGCAGGAAGGACTGAACGGATGGATGAACAGAACGGGCAGACAAGAATCGGGTTTAGGATGAAAGGAATGGATGAATATCTTTGAGAGCGTGCATCTCGGACTCAGTTTCTCCAACAATGCAAAATGGGATCGCCCTGGCCGAGCTCCCCCCTCCGCCTCGAGCCTCACCGTTTCCCGCCTGAGCTATGTCCAGAATCCCAATACTGGGCGTGCTGGAAAGGGCTTACCCGGCCGGACCCGCAGAACCGGCTACCTCACGAGCCCGCTTGGGCCTCTGCGGAGTGGACCCGGATTCCGATCCCGCAGGGTCCGGATCTATTGGCCGAGTGACAGCACCGGCGAAGACTGGCGTCTCCGAGAGCCTATCGTTGTCCGCGTTGGGCTGTGGGTCCTGCCTCCTGGGGAAAAGGCCCTGAGTGGCCCGGGGAGGTGGGAGGTCGATTTTCCATTGGCTGCATGATAATGACTGACGTCCACGGTAGCTTATCGCAGCCTCCAGTGTCAGACCCGCCTCCGGAGGGACTCAAACTGGTGGTAGCTGCGGGCGTGGTCGCTGCGGGCGTGGTGGATCGCAGAATGGCCACAGATGAGGTTTCTGGCTGCACAACCCTGGGCTGTTTGCTGATCTGATCCTCGGGTCTTGTGGGAGGACAGAGACTTGAAAGCCCAGACTCCTTGTTCCTGAGGGAGGAGGAGGCTGGGGAGCTGAGGAAGGAGGGACTGGGGGTTCCCACTTCTGAATCTGAAGAAGGAAAGGGCTGGTAACCTGAAGGGTCGGGGGTCTAGCAACGGGGACTCCTGGATTCTGAGAATCACTGGCCCGCCCAG